CTCTCAGAAAGAAAGCACGTGCTTATCTTGAAAAGGTCACACTGTTCCTTTAAATTTAAGTTTACATTAACATTAATAACCCAATGTTCAAGTCATAGAAATAATTACTTTTAAAGTTGACATATTGTTTGATACTACCAGTATTATAGAGATGTATTGGTTTTGTCATTTCACTGAATTAAGTTTTCTTTAGTCTGAAGAATCATTGATGTGAAAAGGATTTAATTTAATCAAAGTGGCTGATTAATATCTATCAGTAAGAATGTTTGGACGTGCTGAAGAAAGTATTGACAGTTTATAATAGGGTATGTCTTGTGTTGATACCTTGTAGGTGACTTCAGGAGTATTGTGCTGAAATGACCCCTGTGAAGAACAGCACACTGTCAGGTGACAAACACGCTCATAAATCCTAATTTATCCCTCGTCAGGAGCTGTCAGTCAAAACGTCCTGGACAAAACCGGAATACATTCAAGAGCGATATTTATTATTGCTTCTCAATAATCACAGCACGACAAAAGCCGGTGTAGTTCACTCGTTTATTTCTTACAAACAGTAAATGGCACATTTTCATAAATAATACTTTAAGCATTAAATCGGATCTCTCTCTCTTTAAATATCTCTGTTTTATAACAATATGAGCTTTCTGTCTTGTAAAAGTAGCTTTTGAAACATGATGGCAAATGACTGAAAACCTGACATAGACAGAAGGATTTTTAACAAGCATGCCACCTGCATATCAAACTCTGGAAAACACACGTTTCACATATGTTTGCATCAGTAACATCTACTGGAGGTTGAAGAAGAACATTATCGTCGCACATTATTTTCCATCAAACCCAACAACACCCATGCCACTCATATCAAAACTACACGTGTGCAAACATCTCTCAAAAATATATGTACACGTATTTACAATCTGAAGCTGGTCATAGTCTGAAGATGCTCGAGTCTTCATTTTTTACCGTTTATATTTGAAGCTGTAGATAAAGCTCAGCTTGTCATGCAGGAAGCTGAGACTGTTTTGATTTAGCGTTGTCTTGTAATGCTTTGGTTTAAGTTTTAAGTTGAAGTTCTAGTAAGAAGCAGGCATGACACTGACAATACTGTATCTGAGAAATGATTGTCTTGCAGGTAATGGATCCATGAAGGACATTTGATCCCAGGTTTGTGATGTTGGTTCCCATTTCAATGAAAGAATGGTCCCCATTGGTTCTTCAATGTAAAGCTCTGTAATGAAAATACAGACAGTGTATTTTTTTTAATTTTCTTCATCACCTTAATGCTGAGAGCCTTAAAGCATCTCCAGGAATGTAAGACATTCAGCATATATTCCTATTATTCAGCAGACATGCACAAAATGTAAGCTAAATACATCCAGACGTGTATCAGGTTTGCCCATCTAGTTTTCCCCTGCTTCCTCCCATGGCATTTAGTTAAGGGATGGTGCTTGTGACCATTCCTGGGATGTCAGCCAGACCTCCTGATAGCTCCTTTGATATATGGCTGATAGCAGTGGAGGCCAGCACTGAAGGAGGGAGGGGGTTCTAAAATAACCCACCTCGCCCACCCCAGCCCGCGTGGTCGGTATTTCCCTCGATTTCAGGACAGACTGTGCGCTGCAGATCAATTTGCCAGACCTCGGCGGTATGGCTCATTAAAAATAGCGTCGATCGGTTGTGTGCAGGCAGCTTAAAGAGACGAGCAGCTGTGCTTTATGTAACACTTCGTAAGGAGGAAATACGATGTGTGAGGATCAGCTAACATTTTGTGGACTCCCTCCCAGCAGGAATCTAAAGAAATGAAACATGACTTGGCAAAAGGGAAAATGAGCCGGGCTGAGTGATTGATAGTAATCATGAGCTATATGTTCCACCTTTAGTCAACTGTTCAAGACGTCAATATTTGGTTTATTTGTTTTTCTTACATTAAAAAAGATGAAATGGTGTTTTATCAGCCCACAGCAGTGTAACAGAAAAGAACAAATCTATTATAATGTATCTAAAAGAACTTCTGATTAAAACAATCCAATTACAATAAATACATGCAAAACAGTTTCAATAAAAACAGCTGGGGAAAATAACAAGTAAGGTAGGGGAGCAGCATACATTCAGCAGCACAGTCATTCAAATAGTCATCTTTAAGTGTATTTTAAGTTCTTACTGCAACCAGAGGTCCATATGATGCAGTGATTCACTTCAGTGTGACAGAAGAGAGGGGGGGGGGGGTCAGTTTGTTTGAGATGGAGAACCAAGAGAATCTCAAGTCAGAAAGGAAAAACATGATTTCTTTACTTTTATTTTATTGAAAGGAAAGACTCAGGTGTCTCTTTGGTTACCTGAGTTGTGAGATTAATTTTTATCATCATTACTTCATCTTAAAGTTTACTTTCTGAAAAAAACTGCGATCAGGAAGCGGAGAAAATATCCGTCATGTTATCCAAGCTCGCACATACAGCAGGTCTTGGTTGTCATGTCTTGGTTTTATTTTTAAACCAAACATGAGAATATTTAGACAAGAGGCTGTATAAGTCTCAGTCTTGGTTTTAAGGTCACCTTGATAATGATTTTCAAACCATACAAGTTGCACTCTGAAGCAATATCCTTCTTTATCAGTTGCTTGACTCTAAATCAGGTTCACAACTGCTCTAGTCTCAAGAACCATGAAAGCAGGTGCAGTATGGACCAATAGATGTGGCAACAGACTTATTGCTACGCATTTTTTTACACAGAAACATATCCACATCCACGTGAAAGCAACTGCGACCCACCTTTGGGTCAAAACATCTGAGAATCTTTGCTCTAAGAGGTGTAATTATGTACTAAATCAACACCATGCTGTTCTGAAGAGTTTTTGAGGAAATTTACTCATTAGAACATTTTTATTTCCCCCTCTGGCTTCACAGAATCAGACTTTTTTTTGCATCTAGTGGAGTTGCCTGCCTGCTGGCTATTACACATTTAGGGTTGAAGGCAGGCTCACTTTTAAAACATGAGGCCCCCTCCACTTCTGAGGTGACTTCATCAAACTTCCTTCTTTCACAACTTCCTATTTTTGGCCAACCAAAACATCAGAAACTACAACATTAATGATCTACTATGAGCAAGACTAAAGACTTGTCAGTGTTGTATGTTATAGATGAAACTTGATTACTGTGACATAACTTTAACCCTATTTTTTTCTGCTGGTGATCTCACTGGACTTGCTGTGAAACTGTATATTTGGGTCTTGGTCCCCCTGACCCTTTGGACCTTCAGACCATGACCCAAGACTCTTACCAGGCAAACGTCTAGCATTAGGCTGATTTAATGTTCCGTCTCTCTTTCTGCACACTTAAGCAGGTGTATGTAGACAGAAGACATTTCCCTGTATGTCAGAGATGAGTTGCAGTGGTCTGACATTACAAACCAGCCTGGACAGGGTTGAGGCAGGCCGTTGAGTCAGTGAGAACTCTTACCTTAATGTCAGATGTCACGGCCCACGTCTGCTATCATCGACTTCGGTCTGAAATGAATGAGATTAAAGTTGAGCCATAAGTAAATATAAATATTTTGCTTGCTCATGAAGCCCGTAATAGGTTGTGCCTTCTGTTGCCAAAACATATCCATGTGGCTGCTGAAGCTTCGAGCACTTAATGTAAAAGAACCCACAGACACAACTTTCAAATGTGAATGTTTTCTTAATACTGACTGACTTAATGAGAAAACCATCAAATAACTAATGTGTAGGTGACTGTTGTAAACTTTAGTTTTTAATCAGATTATGAAATATCTAAAGGTTTCCTGTGTATTAATGCTGTGGTAGAAAACATTTTATTGAACCAAAGAGGGCAATGGACTGTTTGTACAAAATGAGCTCACCTTTCTTTAGGCAGTTTTGAGTTGGTGTGATTCTGCTCTTGCTCAAGTCTGTGAGTGAGAGAGGAAAATAAGAATAAATATCGCTTGGCTCTAGAAAAAAAAAAAGCATATGAAAGTATAATTTCTGGAAATTAAATTGCATAAAGAAATGACCACTCACCTCTCCCTCTGCGCTCTTACCTTCTCCTCGTCATACCTGTAAAAAAGAGAAAAAAAATCTCAGAGTGACATGTCATGACATCAACATATTTCTACCAGTGGCATTAACAAGCTCCAAAAGTTCACACAGAGGAAGCCAAAGATGATTTTCTTCTGTTATAGTTTGGCCTCATTTGCTGTGTTTAAGTATTCACTGCAGTGCTTCTCAATGCCTGCAGTTATGAAACACACCCAGCTTAAAATATTGAATTCCAAATTTCTTCAACCTGCACTTACGCTTCACATTCAGAATATAAAACATAAACTTTTTGCTTTTTAGAAATCTTTCATATTCTTTGTGCTGTTGAGGACTCAGCCGTCATGTGTTTTTGTATCAGGTTTCAGCTTCTTAGTATTTGTTTGAAACGACAGAAAGTCTACAGAGATAGATAGATGGGTTTGTTTTGTAACAGCCAATACATGTTGTACACTACCTTTATCATCCACCTCCCTCGTACTTTAAACAAAATAAACAGATCATGCTAAAAAAATACACACACAATAAATCAGTCACCTTAACACAGCTTGGCTCAGGTTTGCCTCTACCAACATGCTGTAGGCATTCTTTAAGGTTTGATTACCGCAGTGGATAACATGAGCTGTCAAAGAAATGTGTAGTGTCTCAGCAGTGACCCCTGGTGGCTCAGAGTACTTACTGCAACACACACTCAGGGATCTGCACATGCTCCATGGGGATGATCTGGCTGAGTTCATCCAGGGTGTGAACGTAACGGATCTTATCCATGAACTTCACGCTGCAGAAAACATCAACAACGTTCAAATTATTCACACAAAGGGAACTGTCTGAAAATGTATGTGGCTCAAAAATAAAAAACTCATTACAGCTCTCACTGTTTGATTATGTAACAGCTTCATTTTCTCAACATACTTCATGTCAGAACTCCATGATTAAGATTCTTTTTACTTATTTGTTTTGTTTACAGAAAGGTTCCTGGCCAACATATCACCAAAAATAACAGGATTACAGTATGAACTGTACGCCACACTGAATGCATCCCCACCTGATGAAAGGTCTTGAGATGGCCAGGACGGTCCGGATGAACCACGTTGGGTGAGCGATGATGAGACACTTAAGATTCTTCCTCAGTCTGCAGAAAACAAAAAATTGCAAGATTGTTTTACTCCTTCTCAAAATGATCTTCAGAAAGATAATTTTTAGTTTGTTACTGTATTTCATCACTTTTGTAAAAACTAACAAAACTGATAATTAGTCTGTCTTACTTCCTGTCAATCATCTGGTAGCATCTCTTCAGCCAGCTGATCCCAGGCATCTTCCTGCGAGGAGTTGCTCCGTTCAGATAAATAATCATGTAATCTTCTGCCACCAGCAGCTCCAGGCTGCTCACAACGTACCTGAGAGCAGAACAAACATGCTGAGGTCTAACTCAGACTAAACAGAAACATATGTGATCAAAAACACTTGAAAACTGCATGTATTTAGAAGTGGCTCCACTTCAGCTATGTGGTGATCAGAGTTCATCAGAAAACTTTTCATCTTTCATTTCTAGCATAATTGTGAGTCAGGGTGAGACATAACATTGCATAACATCCCCCTGACTTGGGTGATACAATTATCACTGATGAGTTACGTATGTAACTAGGGTTCTATGAATTCTGGATGACTGCAAGAGTTCTCTGTCACTCTGAACCTTGGCGAGAAGATTCTGTCGGGACGTCTATCGTGATGACGTGGGCTATTTAAGCTACATCATGCGTCATCCAACATGTAACTTTGTTGATACTCAACCTGCGTGTTCACACAACATATATTATCCAGTGTTAAGAACTGCCTGTGGCGCTCAGGAAGAATGAAATTAAACCATATCTTAATGTAACAACAAAATAAAATGAGAAAAGGCATTCTTAACAGATTTCCCTGCCAATGTAACTCACCATGTCACCCCTTCATGACTCCTTACAGTGGCACTTATGACATAAATGAACATAATGTGAATGGAAGGTAATTGTCCATAAAACAAGTTAACAGTAGGATAAAGAAAAAGCAGACAGTGTGATAATGTCGGAAAGCAGTGAAAAGAAGTTAAACGATGAAGCATGGAATTCTAATATGGAGTGTTTCTAATTGCAGAAGCGTTGTATCGTGATAATGTTATCATGGGCAAAGTGTTGCGTTTTGTATTGTGTGAGTAACTGTGATGTCCTTTGATCGATCATACAGCGTAGGATAACATAGCAGAGCCATATTTTTATTGAATGGCTCTTAACAAAGCATGCTCTATAAAAGATTCCCTGATGAGAGCAGAAAAGATCTTACAAGAAGAGATTCTCCATGATGTATGTGTAATCCTCACAGCTGCTGTCAGGGAGGTAGCAGGCTGCAAACACGATGATGGCATTCAGACCTTCCCCATAATAACCTGAAAGAGGAGAGAGACACATGTCATCTCTTAAAGCATCTCTGTCAGCACTGCCAGAGGAGGACACTGGCAGTTATTGAATTGTCTCCATTAGCACAGCCGTTCTAGTAGCATGTAGTATTTACATATTGCTCATGTATGTTTAATGTTCTGACATAATGTTTTTAATGTTTGTTTTTATTTACGAGTTATGTCATTTTGAGTTTTAATTGTTGTGTCGGCTTTTTGGCATGCTTGTTGTGAGTGGGTTGATTTGTGTCCTTGTTAACAGCATTCAAATATCAGACTTTTAATGTAAAGCGACATGAGTTCCACTGGTGCATGAAATCTGCTGCATCAATACGTCTGCTTTGCTCTTTTCTTTCCCTTCATGAGCTCTAATGTCCCCTGATGATCACTTGACGCTCTAGGCTGCTCTAGTTTTTTATCCTTCAAATGTTTTAATTTGTAGCAGAAGTTTTATGCCTTCTTCAGGATGGACTTGAGTTTGTTTGACCTGTCACAAAGAAGGATTTTATCCATTCAGATCTACATACATAGCAAAGAGAAGCTGTCTTAAGTCTTTGGAGTTTGCTGATGAAAAAGTCACTGATGTGTACACTTGTATTCACAAACATACATAAATCAGTGCCAGTTCATTCGGTACACTTAGCTCAACAAATCAAGTCTAATACAACAGTCCTGCAAATCCTAATATGACATCATGAAAGCTGTTGTATTCAGCTTTTGTTCCACATATATACTTATTCAGCTATAGAGGTACTTTGGAGCATGCAGGATAGGGTGCTTTTGAATAGCTGTGTTATACTGACAGGCGTGTCTGATGTTAATTCTGATGTCCAGATTCACCCGCCTCTCTTTCTCCACTTGAGTGTCCGCTCTCTCTCTCTGACTCTGCAGAGGTCTCTCATAATAAATTAAAGCCTTTTTAAAGCTAATGAGGTAATAGGCTAATTTTATTTGCAAATAGGGGAGGGAAGTTAGATATGGACATTAAGTGGATACTGAGGATGTATGTCAGCTGTTAACAATCATACTTGGAACTAACTTGTGATTGAATTACAAAGGAGACAGGATATGATGACACCAGGTCGTGTGTCAGGTAACATCAGTGACTTCTAACAGTTAACGTTAAAACACAGGGCTCGTCCGGGATTTGAACCCGGGACCTCTCGCACCCAAAGCGAGAATCATACCCCTAGACCAACGAGCCAACTGAAATTGTATCACGACATCTACGTATTTGAACAGAACCTGTCAAACTGGTGATGTGGCAGACTGGAGGCTCTGAGCACAGCTGACTGAACAGCTCCCTCTAGTTGTCATAATGAGAATGACAGCGCACAGAGCAACAGTCTAGCAAACGGGATTGTTTGTTTCAGTGTGGGCTGAGAGTTAAAAACACCGTTCAGTGAAACATATCCTACATCATGAGAAACACTGTCCTCTAAAATGATCATTCAGCTGAATGAACACCTCTCCTCAACAGTAATAACATTTAAATATTTTAACCTTGATGAAGGACCGTTTTCTTTTTTTACAGCTATACCTGATAAAAACACAAACCTGTGTCCCTGTGCAGCTGCTTTTCACACTCACTACCTCATTGTTGGATCTATAGGAACATGTTCACAAGCTTTTTTTGGCTGAATGCTTTTATCCGTCTACTTAAGTTCAAACTTCCATAAAAAAAAAAAACTATCTACGACTACTTAAAATACACACGTTACTTACCTCCATGTGTGACCACCCTCAGGTAGGGTCTGATGACCTGCATGTCGATCCTCTGCTCCTGGTCACCGATGATCACTGTTCGCCAAAGACGACCAGAAGAGTCTCTCTCCTCTTCCCCCTCACCTGGAAGACGCTTGGCAGTGGCCACAGGAGTGTCGTCTGGACAACAAGGTGACACGAGAAACGAGCTCATAAGAAAACTTTAATTCAATTTAAACATTGTGAAAGTAAAAATGTAGATAGTGAAAAGAGTTTTGAAAGTTCCACTTTGACTTTGTCTCGTAGATAACATGAAAGGAAAACCAATATATTGCTCCTGACATCCACCCACAGCTTTGTAGAGGTTAAAATTAGGGCTGTCAGCATTTATTAGTTACCGGTAATCGTGATTAATGAAGTTCTCAAATGAATGCATTCATTATTTTTAATAATAAAACAAATCAATAAAAACTCCCATACAGTTCAGCTGATGAGTTAAACGTTGTATCCACCTTATAACATCAAACATTTACCTTTGTTACCTTTCCTTTGAGCTGTCATTTAGTTTTTAATCCTTAACGAGTTTCTTTTTCTATAGTTAAGTTAATATCTAAACCTCCGATCTACCAGAAGGTCCGAACTTTATTTCAAAATAAAAGCAGGGTTGAATCAAACAGCAAGTAAAATACTCTCACCTTCAGACAGTAAAAAAAATATCAAAAACAAAAGCCTAACAATTATTATTTTTTAAAGCAAAATATTGACATAATGAAATATTTGAATTTCCAACATGTGATTAAATCTGGAACTATTGAAAGGAAGCGATTGATTGAGATTAAAATATTTTATTGTTTGACAGCCCTAGTTAGTTCAGCTACTCAGGAGAGAACAATTTGAAAGAATTGTTTCTTGGCAGGCGGGTCCACTTTAATCGACTTCTTTAGGATAGATTTTGCATCAGCTATTAACAGAATTTTGACCAAATGTCTATCATATATTCTTACATTTGCTTCAGAAGAATTAGGCAAGATTGTGGATTGGATTCAGAAGAATCAAAATTACACAGATGAGGTACTTCGTAGCTCATTGGGAGTTTGAGGAATTGAAAATGTTAGACTTGACAGCATCCATTGACAAGTCTTTTAGTGTTTTTTTGTTCATTTTTATTTATACATATTTTTCAACAGTTGGCAGTGATTTGTGAATGAAACTCAAACTAAGGACACTGAACTCAATATGATTAACTTCTTCAAACCTTTAAGTTTCCTTCTTTAATTCTGACCATCTAATTCTTCCTAAAACTGACTTTATATTATTTGAACTCTGTCTGACCTTCCCACTCCAGCTCTGTGCCATTGTTGATGAACTCCAGCGAGTCCGTCTCATCAGGCGTCTCGATGTCGTCCACGTTGATGTCCAGGTCGTCTGGTGTTTCCAGGAAGTCATCAGAGAGCACTGAGCCCTCGCTCTGATCCAGGGACAGGTTCATGTCGGGGGCGACCAGAGTGCGGCGCTTGCGCTGTGCAACAGTCTCGCCAACATTCAGAGTGGTTGGAGGATCTGTACCAACATAAATATAATAAGTATATATTCAAAACTTTAATACTGCTGTTAATTAATCTATGATACTCACTGGTTCTGTTGTCAGTGAGGCCACATGAAGAATCTCCATCTTCTGGAAGCGGCCTGCAGAGAGAGACATGAACAAAGCAGAATAAAATAACTCTGTTTTCCAGCTAACTTTTTAATAATAGCTATTTATGAGATTTAAACTGTTGAATAAACTACCATGACGAAGATAGTACTGAAGATAAACCACAAAGTATATACTTGTATTCTCACTTTGCCTTTTATTTATGGAGTGTCTCCTTTGTGATTTTACTACAGTGTGTCCTTGGAAACAATGTGTTGTTTGAAATAAGCAACACCAGTAATTACCAGCTCCCCTCTGACATTATAATAAGAGTTGAAGTGTCTGCACTGAAGGGCAAGAAGGTTAGATTATAGTCACACACACTTCACACAGACAGAGAAATACATTGACAAAGACATGCATGTATATAGAAACACACCCAAATCACCACAAGTACAGGCTAGTTGACGGTGCTACTGGAGTACTGGTAATTGCAGTTATTATGTTGTCAGTGGCTTTGTAGAGGCGAGGTAAAGACAGCACCAACAGATATTAAAGAGACGATTAAAGAGCGGGGAGGAGGGAAACTATTAGCAGGGTGAAAGCATTCTTAAACATGTTTCTATCGGACTTCACCTGTCTGCAGCTTTCTTTATTGGTATTCATGAAAACATGTAAATAGTTGAGATCACAATGAAATACAAAACAAAAAATACCAATTCCATTAAACGTTGTCTGTCTCGCCATGCAGAACCCTTTTGTCTGCCCTTAAAGATTTAATTATATTGTATTCTATAAGCTTTTGAGCTACAAGGCAATTATTGCTCCCTATAAAGACAAAGATGAAACACAGAAGATCAAGCACATCCATGTTTTAACTGCTTAACATGTAAACTGTAAACAATGTGCTGTGGATGCTGTTGAACTCATTAAATAATGACTACCCAAATATATTTCCCCTGCTTTATTTAAAGACTCTTCCAGTTATAGAGTGGGTGGTCTACCATGTTTCCATTGCATTGTGATGTATTTGCTTTCTTCATTTTCTCCCTATGGACGCTGCAAGTTTCATCGTGTAGCACACCATGACTACATGGAGGAAAGAACACACCTGCTGCCTTTCAGCATTAGACACACGTGCCTGACCTCCCATCATAGTTGAGCTTGTTTGTGGAAGGCTGCCCACAAATCAGACCAACACACACACACACCATAATCGCTCTCTCAAATGCAGACTCAACATATTTGGAATTACCTGGGGAAGTCCTCATCCTGCCACTCGTCCTTAACCTCCATGCTGTCCATGCGTAAAGTGGCTTCTGCTGTACCCATCCTCTGCCGGGGAGGACAGGGTTCAGCTCTCTGTGGTTGAAAAAATGTTGAAACGAAGTCATGAAGTGGGAAACAACGTGCTAAAACCCTGATAAATATGTTTAGTTCAGGATCATGAAGAAGAAGCAAGCAAGCATTACAGAGTGAAGGTGTGGAGTTTGAAAGACTTGGGTGTTTCCTCGGAGGGGAGGGTTTAATCTAAGACACATCTAATTGAACTATGGGAAATGTAGTATTCAGTGCTTTTGACTTTGAACTGAACTGGAAACAAAAAAATATATATATTTCATCAGAAGCAGCATATGTAATTTAAGTCCATGCACATTTGTTTTGAATGCACATGTGCACATTATTTTTGTACTTTTGTATATTACGAGTATTCTTTAAGCAGGAGTGTTGTTTGCATTCAATGGTTTAAAGTTGATAAAATAGTTCAATCAATGGTCCCTGGGTGTGTATATTTATCATTAATGTATTGTAATACTGTTTTCTTTACCTATTTAAAGCACTTTGAGTTGCCCTATATATGACTGGTGCTGTTTTCATAAACTTGCCCTGCCACTAGACGTCATGTATTAAACAGCTTCAGTTCCCCTTAAATAGATCAAGTAGAGGCTGATTTATCCAAGTTTAGAAAAAAAAATGCTTTTATGGACTCAGATTAACATGGGTGAAGTGAAGAATTCGTCTAAAGAAATTGCTTAATCGTCACAAAAAAGTCTACCTTTTTCTTGAGTCATGGGTTGCCAAGGGCAATATTCATAAACTGAAGTCATATTTTTTTTAAATTGTGTCCCAGTGAGTCTTCTTTCCAAAAAATCCTTAGGGAAGGAGACAAAAATAAAACACCACATTGCTCATAGTCCCCCGGGGAAATGAAAACAAATCACATGCTGGCAAATACCAGATAGTGATCTGAACTTCCATATTTTACATAACCAATCAGACATGAGAGAAGTCTCCATATGATGCTGGAGGGTTTTTTTTATAGCTTGGCTATGACCTAAAGCTATACAGTGTCTCGTGTTTAGGTCGGTTGCTGTCTATCGGGATCTGTCATGCATGGAGTGAACATCGTGTGCAAGTCTCTTGTCAGAAATGTGCGCATGGGGGAGGAGTTTTCTTCCTACATCACTGAGCCACTCAGAGTTCATGCTACAGCAGACGTTAGCTGGGTCTATTTGTCCACTGGGATGGCACTGATGTGCTACAGCACAACACATCAGTGACTATACTGAGGGAAAAAAGTGGGCTAAAAGGCACAGACCCTCGGGCTTCATGCTGCTGGTGCTACTGTGTTGTGATTGAATTCAAAAGATAGAAGAGATTGTTCAGTGTTTAACCTCACCATCCTGCTACAATAAAGTAAAGTTTGATGTGGGCTTGATGGGGAACTCCTGATATGTCACTTGAATAAAGATCCTCCTGGATTAAAAGACACTTAGAGTTTCCTCCTCTGTTCTTTCTGCTACAGTTTGATCATTCTCCGGTCTGAATTATTAGTGTGTGTGTGTGTGGGGGGGGCGAATAAAGAGGAAAAATTCTCACAGAAACAGAAGATCAATGCGTGTGTGGCTTGTGTGTGTGTGTGTGCAGATGGCTCAGCTGCTCACACAGTGAACTGCTGATTGATGGCCTCTAAGTAATGTTGCAGTAGCACGTGTTTGGTGGGGATTTGAGTCCAGATGGCAGAGCGGCCTTCATTTCCCAAACACTATCTTGTGAGCTTTTCACCAAAAACTTTATTATCTGCGGGATGGATTGCAGGCATACTGTTAATAAAATACTCAACATACAAAAGTTTTATTTGTATTACTTGTTATGGTGAATATTTGTCATAGTTGAAAAAGTCTCATGACATAGCCTAGCAACATAGAAGAATAGAACGTTGTACTCATCCTCCTCTAGATTATGAAATAATTTACATGGCTTGAAGCTTGGAGATAGGCATTGATAGAGCCACAGATATGAAAGGAAAGCCGAGAGGAGACATCATGATCAGTAAAGCCTTTCACAACTTGTCTGATTGAAATTTACAAACAAGAGATAAGCGTTGTGAAAAGCCTGGAGAGCCCCTGATTGTTTGTCTTCAAAGGTTGGCTAACTTAGCAAAAATCAAACTTTAACATCTTTGGGCAGCATTCAAAAAAGTGTCAAGCTAAAGCTAATCTGCTTTGTTAGGACTGAATAGCTGTGGGTGGATTAGATTTGAATTAAAGTGATTAATCATCCCGTCATTTGTCATCAGACATCGTCAGTGACCAGAAGCAGATGCCTTTTTTTTTTTTTTACTTATCCTACATGTATTGACGTTGTTTAGACATGGTTTCTTAGCATTTCTTGTGTATATTTGATGCTCTTTTGTGTTACTCTTTTTTTTTTGTTCTGTAATGTTGGAGCAATCATGTCCTTATCTGGAGAATATCTCAGTCATTTGAATCAGAGTGTAGCAGAATTAAGCAAAGCAATAATTTATCATGTCATTGAAAGCGATTGTGTCTCTGCAAGAAAACAGTTTTTTAAACTCATAACAAAAAATAAAAAATAAAATCAGGGTTCATGTAAAGGCAGCGTACTCACATACTGTTATAAGGAAGTCTTCCTCTTCGCCTTATCGTAAGCTTCCTCGATTTGTTTGTTGACGCTCCCCTCTCCTCCTCAAATCTGCCTGAGCAGAGTTAGGGTCATCAATGTTTACATCTGCAGGTAGGACACACCTGTGCTCAGGATCTAAGCTGATGATGATTCTTGCTGTTTATGGATGCAGTAGAAGGAGGCTGACGGAGAAATGCTATCCTCCTGTAGAGAGAAGACCAGTCAGGGAAGTCAGGGTCAACGCACAACACATGTCATCCTGCTTTCATCGCTTCCCTCTCCTCTGCCAGGCGGATCCCTTGCTGCTTTTTGGACAAAAGATAATCCTCGCCCTGTGCTTTTAGCTCGTCTCATGATGATCGCACTCTCTCTCCCTCTCTTCCTCCCATTTACTTCTGCTTCTCTCTGCTGAATCCCCCTTTAACCCCCTCCTCCCTCCGCCAACACTAAAGCTCCCACCCCGGGCTCTAATCCTGCTGTGATGATGTCACCCAAATGGGAGCTGTGGTATGGTTGTTATGCAATCACACCTGCCTACCTTCTCTTTGATTCTCTTTTTACGGATCAGCAGGTTTCCTTCTCTTCACGTTCAGTCCATTTTACATCCATGATTTAATGGTGCTTTTTATCCTCCTGCAAACCTGGAAAAGATGGACGTTTCTACTTCATCGCTGTTCCCTGGCAACAGCATCTTCCTCCCTCACACAGCATCTCTCTCTCTCTCTCTTGCTTTTTCTCACCATCTCTTTTAAGCTCTCTCACTCCTGGTGAAACCCCTCCTCCATGTGAATCCCCTCCTCCATTTGAATCCCCCTCCTTTTCTCTTGCTGTGATGATAACACCCCCTCCCTTCCTTCTTTTCTGTCTCGCTCTCCTCACAGCTGCACTGAGCTCTGGGCGATGTCAGTGGCATCTCTCTGACATTGCACTCATCACCCAGTGGGGGCAGCTACAGTTTCCTATTCTTCTCCTGCCATTGGTTGTTTGGAAGATAAATGCATTGTGGTGTGCTTAGAGTTTTCTATTAATAACGCTCCTTGGCACGGTATTGAAATGCTGCAACCTTCCCAGACTTGTGACTAAAAGCTGTTGTTTCCTCACCAAGCTGGTACACTTGAGCTGCTGAGAAGCTGCATTTAGAGTAGATATCAATACAATAGATGTTTATGTAGAAAAACCTATTGTAAAATGTGTTCATGCTTCATGAAGAGTTAGGCTGACTCACAAAACAGGCTTACTAGCTTTAAGTTGTTGCTTGTTTTCTTTTAAGTACTTAGATATCTTAAAATGTTTGAGTACTTTTTCATATTCTGAGATCAAAATTTCCTTTAAAGTTTGAAGGGGGTACACAATCATGTTTCCGCTCCAAGCCTTTACTATACAGTGTTGACTTTGATAGAGTGCAGTACAATTAAATATTAAACACTTCTATATGTTCCGCATTGCCTAAGTACAACTAGGTCACTGAGATATTTTTTTGTCCTGCACTTTACTCTCCTGCCACTAGATGGTGGTGGAGTGTTTCCTTTCAAAAACACATAAAAGCTATCAGGCATTGTAAAGGGAGCTGTTCTCCTTATGTTATGTTGCATTGTTCGGATGGATCTCTTGATTGTTTCATGTAATGACTTTATTGTGTTTAGGTACACCCTGTTTCAAATGCACAAGTAAAGGTGCTGTCGATCCTTTGAACTATACTATACTGTACTAATGATATTGAATTTGAGGATAATATTTACGAGTAAAGTTGATTCATCAGTTCATATTTATCCTTATATTAGAAAAAAAAATGGCCTGAGACCTTGGGTTATATGGTGGGGGGGTATAACACTATATATTTCAGTAACATTGTAACATCTTTAAAGAGTCTTAAACATTTACCTGGAAGGTACAGTAAACATCCATACTGTCGTATAGTTCATGATGTTCATGTTTCATGTTGGTGCACGATAAAATCTTCGATCTTGTTTTGGAGGAATCTATGACCAGGTGAACTGTGGGTCAGATCAATGAGTTAACAAGCTTA